GATTTGATCGAATTGCCACGAAAACACTGAGTTCACATAGAACACAAGAGTGAGTTAGTTCTCTTTTATTTCTGTGGTGAGATGCTAATGCCATATAATACTCACCCTAAAATATTATCCTTTTTAAAAAAAAACTCACAAGCTTGATTTTAAAAGGCATGAACTTTTTACTCAGTGATCAGTGGAATTTTACCCCCTATATGTGAGTAAATCCTGGTTCTTATCAATTGTTTTGATCTGCTGGCTCCAACGCAATATTTATCCCAGTAAGAGAAGTTAAAAATTGTTTCCACTCCTGCCAAGAGCTGAAGGGAAAGTCAATTTTAATCATTCTAATGGTTGGTTGCTTGTTGGTGATGCATTGTAAAACTAATTTAGCCCCTGACTTTACAAAATCAGCAGTAAAAGGTGTCCTTTACCTTCTTGGGTACAACTTTATTTCCAGGGGAACAGAGAGCTGCTTTCTTATAGTGCAATGCTAAGAGCTGCAGACTAAGTACATTACATCACTTTGTGACTGTGTAGACTTTACTCTGAGAACCATTCCCTATCCTGGCAAAGATTTATTCATTTGCTCTTAGGAAAATCTGATTCTCCATTATAATTTTCTTGAAGAAGATGTAGTTTCAACAGCTCATCTCTTGAGAATACCAGTTTACCAGAATTCTTCAAAAACATAAAGTCATAGTGTTATAAAAGATCTATATATTCAAGTCAAGGCATTCTATTTGTGACAGTGATTCAAACTTTTTGATACAAAACCGATAGAGCTGAGAGATTGATTGAAAAAAAACTCCCTCATGTTTAGTCTAGGAATTGAAGTTGGCTGTCTTTGCTCATGCTGTTTAATGTTTAATGGACTACAGAGATGATTACATTCCTGCAATTCTGAATAGCTTTCAGAACCATTTTGATAACAGTCTGACCGTCTCTCCAGAGTTGCAAAGCAGACGTCACCAACGCTTAAAGCACAAAGTTAGAATGAGTGTCCCCTGTTATCCCCACATGGTAAATTTATATCTCAGTGGTGAGTGGAGGGTTGGTGGTGGAATTGGAGTGGGATACTTGTACTATGTACACTTGTACAAACCCAGTCATTAGTTCAAGTCACTATTTAGTAGAGGCTCCGCAACCAATCCACAGTTTTCCCTCCCAGTTGCAAAGTGGACCCATGTTACGTTTTGCTAAATGGGATTCGGGAAGAGAAATTCATCATAAAAACTTATAGAAACTTTTGACGGACATTTAATTTTTATTTGAAATGTAGATGATTTTGAAATCGTATTGCAGAATAGAACAGGCATTTATGTACAAGTGCTTATGGACATGATTTGTCCCATTCAGTTTTCTCCTCTTACCTCTTCTTGAAGGTGCTGATTCGTGTTGAAGTACAGTTCCGCAAGTGCTGGTTCAATACCCCACCTCTGTCCATTATTGTATGCGAGGCTAGACAGTGAGTGTCAGTGGGATATTAGATTGTACAGGCTTTCACAGGGAGCCCGTTTCACACATTTTGTCCACGCACACATTATTGATCTAGTGATCTATCTATATCTATCTGCAATAATAACAAATTACATAGAGCCTTTCACGTTTAGAAGACATCTCAAAGTGCTTCACACTGTATATATGTACACCAGCTCCCTCCCCCCCACCCACAACACACACATTCTTCCAGCACAAGTCACTGTATTTGGAAGTCAAATATTTGTAGCTGGAACCCAACCCAATTTTTATTTATTTCTCTCCCGCTCAAGGGATGTCAGTGATGTCCCCCGAGCCTCTCTAGTTTTTATTGGCTGAGCTTCACAGCACTTGGTGTTTGCTACCAAGAAAGCACATCTGTTCCCATTTAATACAATGGTAGGCAGGTGCCCAAAGCCCTCTTCATGCTGTGAAAATAGCTGGCTCTCACCAATCTACTCAGAGCTCAGCTTTTCAGCATCTCACAGTACAAATAAGTATTGTTTTTCACAAAATCATCAACAGTTGTAAAATCCCACAGTGTTATTAACATAACGCTGCATATGGAGCTTGCAGAATTGTTTTGACTGTCAGGTTATCTCTCCTCCCCTGCTTAGCACATTAGGTGACAGTCCAGAAGGCCCACATGCAAAACTGGTAATAGCGTCCTTTACCTTAAAAGGCCACGAACACCAAGTATCAACATAAAGAGTTGTTTAATATCACTAAGGTTCAATTCCCCTTCCCTCCTGAAGGCACATTCTTGTATTGGATTACAGTTCCCCTGATCTAGGGGCTATTATTCGTGTGTGAGTGCTGACAGGGAGCACTGGCACGCTGTTGTCTCCTGGGACGGGAGGGGGGAATAGTGCATTGTTCATACGTGAGCTCAGAAAGTGAACGTTAACTGAGTCTTTGATCCTGGGAGGGATAGACTGTGAAACTACTCCAGGGTGAATCACCGGAGAAATCTGGAGGAATTAAAAAAAATGGCTCAGAGCAGTTTTTTTTGTGTTCTCTGTCGCTGAGCAGCACAGCTCTGATACACCTGGTTTCATTTTACATTTGACTTAAATGAAGAGTTGAGTAATTCAAGTGCTTGTGTCTTAACTGTCCATTTAACCTCTGCTTTATCTTTTCCAGATTCTAAACTTTATTTTTTGTGGTCTGCATTTTTCAAAATAATTACTTCTCTCCTTTAGGTCAGCCCACCCCTCACCCTCACGCCATGTCTTAAACAGAAGCACAGGTAGCTAATCTGCTACTGTTGCTGCCATGTTGGCCTGACCATCAAGTAGAGTACTCCTGTAGCTAGAGGAATTGTCTGATGACTGTGCTCTGTATGTGGGCAGGGCCTGATTTCCACTTAACAACAACCAATGATGGGCATTTCTGAGATCAGGAACTCTTCCCGCAGTGTATCTGAGATCAGGAACTTATACTAATTCACAATCCAAAGCCCAGGTGTGTTAGTTAACAGCTCAGAGTACTCCAATCCACTAACCATAACCACACCAGTTAATTGGCATTTACTTCTAAAAAGGACATCCTACAATGTCTCCCGAGGTCAGGAACTCTCTTACAATGTATCCTGATATCAGGAACTCTCCCATTGGGTACCTAAGATCAGGAACTTTCCTGCAGTGGGCTCAGGAACACAGTTTATCTGTGTCTGGGCAGCTTGTGCTACCCCAATTTTTGTTATTTTAAGTCTGAACACGGTATGAGCATGCTGTACTCTACAGTCACATCCAGAAGCAGAAGGAATCTGCACGATATCTGCCTCCCATTGCATTAACATTGCACTGACAGTCTGGTTTCCCATTGCTTTTGCTAGCTGGATTGCCCTTTGCAATTCTCACACCGATGCACTCACCATTCAGACGAGGATTTTACTGTAATGATGAAACCATCCGATACCCAAACAAAGAGGACACCATACCTTACCAATTATTAGCTGGAATATTAATTCCACTTTCTCTGCTGGTAGTAAGTGAACTCATTTTTACTCCACGCCATTATCGTTCCATTGCTTTCTTCTGGTGTTGTAAGTCGTATTGTTTATTAAGTGGCATGTGCGTCAATCAGGTGAAAGTAAAACTTGTTGTCATATTGTCAGTGTTGCAGCGTCCTTTGCTGGTTAAGATGCTATTTGCGCTTTTTTAATGGGACGACATTTAAAGGATCAGATTAAATGGAATATCTGTTCTGTTTATTATCAATGATGGGGGAATTGTGTTGAAATATCACAGGCCCTGCTCGTGATATCTTTGGGAGAAGGGAGACATGCCTCTTCCTCTATCTCTGAGTAGACAATGTTTTTCAAACACTAATTGATGTTCCTTTAACTTGGTCCTTATTGGTGGAAACTAGCAATGTTTGACCTGCAAATCTGTATTACATGCAGTGCTGCTTGGGTCAAGAAGAATTGGGATTTCACCATTGCTAAACTGCTTTAGTGAAAGCTGCAACATATTTGTGACAATTACATGTCGAGAGCAACCAGTGAAGTCCTTACTGGACTCACTCTAATAAAAAAAATCTTGTCTTGAGCACCACTAGCTTTGTATGGCTCAGCAAACTTCAAGAAGATTTCAAAAGGGAAAAAAGGACATAAATGTTGGAAATCTGAAAAACACTCCCAGGGATTGCTGGAAATGTACAGCAAATTGATCTAAGAGAAAACTATGTGAAACATCACAAGCCAAAGCCTTAACCCAATGCTTTCAGATGCTGATCTGCTTGCAGTGCATTTCTAACATTTTCTGGTATGATTACTGAGAAGCTCTTGGATGTGCTGTGCTGTGTTTCGCTGCTTCCTGAATTATCCTGCCTGGCTGGACAATAGAGTGCTTCATGACTTAAGATCTTTTAAGGTGGAAGCACTCTTGTTTTCAGTCTTTACCTGTGAATGTGGTGGTCAAGATTTATGACACTAAATGCATCAGTTTTTCAAGTGAGAATCATAATACTAAACTTGAGAGTAAAATCAAAAACAAAACGGATTATTGTAGTGAAAGAACCATAAGAAGCATTTACACTTGATGTTAGGTCAAAGTACAGTTAATAAACCATAACCAAGCAACAACTTACAAACCATAAACCGAATGATGCACTTGTTGTATCAAATGATACAGCCCTTTTAGATATAGAAGCATTTTAGTCCATGCTGATAAGCCACCTGTTAACATGACTTTGGTACGTGTACATGTAGATCTATGATAAGTTTTACCTTGACCTTTGGATGACTTTCCATGATCTTTCTAATTACTGAAGGAAATTACTGTACATGTGAGCACCAGTCAAAGTAAAGTTTTTTTTGTAACTGCCAACAAAAATCTCATAATTCGAACCAAAGCTCAGATGGCAGAACATGAATAATATGTGACTTTTTACCCCCTCCCCCGCTGCTTTTTGTGCATCGCAAATTAATTTGGCTTGAAAGTCCGCAGGGTGAAATGTGCATGTTTTGCAAGCTGTTTTCTGCTCACCTATTTCTTGTGTGGAACTGATGCTCGAATTTGTTTCTGTTACAGATAGTACTAGGGGAGCTGGCCTCGGTTCACTGGAATCACTTGCAGTCAAACTCCTGTATAAGAAACCCCTACATAGCCTCTGTGTATAAGGGGGTTGGGGCATTTGTGTTTGGGGCAGGTGCCAGCCAGTCGCTCACTGACATCGCCAAGTATTCAATTGGCCGCCTCCGGCCTCATTTTCTGGATGTTTGCAAGCCTGATTGGTCCAAAATCAACTGCTCTATGGGATACATTGAAAAGTTCACATGTTTGGGAAACGCAAGGATGGTGACTGAAGCCAGGTGAGTTGGGAAGAACCGCTGAGGGCTACATACTGCAGCACACTGATTGTTTTAAGTGCTCCAAAATGCTACCCTTTGAAGGGAGCTATATAGATACAACTTGTTGTTGCTGTGTGTTCATGTTTGTTATTTATTGAATTTCTGTGCAGTTACGAATCCTCCAGTTAAATCTACCATTCACTTCATGTTTATAGGCATATTGGCTGGGCATCAACTTCAATTACATAGCCACGGGAATGCATTGGATCAGGCATAGTGACATCTGTTTGGATAAGCAACATCCAGACTTCTTTTTAACTCAAAGCTCACATCTGGACAAAAGCCTGCTGCACTTAAAGGCTGCCTTTTCCCAATAAAGAGAGAACCGAAGCGGTGTGAGGCGCTTTGCATTATAGGGATTGTATCAAAAACAAGGTTTATTGATACTGAATAACATCAAATGTGTTGACTAGTGCATTCTTCAGTACATGCAATGTTTCAGAAATTGGATGATTTTGGTTAAGAAATAATAATAATCCTTGCATTTGATGTAGTGCTTTTCACATCTTCTAGACATCTCAAAGCGCTTAAACGTCAAGAAATATTGCAAATTAGATTGTACAGGCAATCATTAAGCACGACAACATTTAAGGCATTCATTGAGTAAGCAAATGAATGTAAAGTGTTGGAAATGTTATTGTGCCACTTGAATCCTATTTTCTTGAGCTTCTGCGGGCTAAGGTAAAATTCCAAAGCAGTGCTAGGGGTTTGTTGTATTGTCTCAGGTGCTGTCCTTCAGATGAGATGTTAAACCAAAGTCCCATCTGCAGTTCAGGTGGACATTGAAGATCTCATGCACTAATCAAAAAAAGAGAATTGAGTTTCTCCTAAGGTACTGGCCAACAATTCCCGTAAGTAAAATTGGTTACTCACTTCATGACTGTTTGTGGGACATTACTGTGTACCTCTGTTTTTGCCTACAAATACACAGTCATTCCATTTCACAGTAATTCCTGTGAAGCATTTTGAGGTGTCCTTCTGATATGATAAGATGCTGTACCAAATGGAGGGATTATTATTTAACTTGCAGCAGTGTAGTGCAAACTGAGCTAGATCTTAATTCCATTCCACATGAATGCATTGGATTAGCGCTAGTGACATCTGTTTGGATAAGACAGCATCCAGACTTCTTTTCAACTCAAAATTTACATCTGGTCAAAGGCCTGCTGGATTTAAAAGCTGCCTTTTCCCCATAAAGGGTATCCAGGCACAAACACTGCAGTTAATCCGAATCCATGGGAAATAGCCCATTAGACTTAATCCCTAGTTAAACAATAAGAAACACAGCGTGAAAACACTGAAGTATGTTCCCTGGGAAAACATTTTAGATAAGATTTCTGCGCGCTGTGTGGCGTAAATGCGGTTCATCCCTTCAAGCTCTACTCAACAGCAGCCATTAACTAATCCTGATTGTACCTGATGGATAACGACCTGGGCAGCTCAGTCTCAGTCTTAGGACTTGGTAGCTTCATAATTGACTACACATCAAAACAAAGCTTAGCTTGGAAGAGCAGACATGCTCCTCCTGTAAAATGAGGTCCCAAACCGGGCAAGTATAATACCATTACATGCAGTTACTACTGGACCTAAAGGACAGGCAGACTTGCGTCTGACAGTGTTGGAAATTTATCATTAACTGCTGGCTGACTGAATTGCTTGTAACAGGTTTCGGTTGTTGCTCTAAATAATGTGGAACACGTTTGTGCAAAGCAAAGAGCCTACTTAATCACAATATCGTCCTTTGTATTTAAAGCAAGTACTGTCCTCCAGAGTAAAATCTGCTTTGAAGTATTTTTCCATGTGAAATGGAATGATTTCTTGTTGCCAGAATCCATAATTTAGGATTTGGTGACGCTGTTGCCTGACTCATTCAGTGTCTCACATGTCCTCTTGACAAAGGTGAGCAAGGTCTCTCTGGGGCTAAACTGGCTTTGAGGAGACACACCTGGCAAACTACCTATTGGCTATTGAAAACAAGTAGCAGATGTTAATCCCTGAGCTCTTATTCATTGCACTGTTAAAGCCAGGGTTCATGCTGCAGCCAACTGTGGAACAGGCACTTGCTGTGGCTTTGTAGAGTTCAACCAGAAAGCACTTTTTCTCTCAAAATACGTTTACCAGAGACCTGGCAGCTCATCTTGTGCCCTTTGGGTTAAAATAACCTGCGTGCTTATCTTATGAAGTCAGAAACAGAGCTGAACTATGCTCTGGCAGCCTTTCCATCAGTTAGAATGTGAGTTTAGAAATTACATATTCACATATTTTGAACATTGGATTTTAATCCAAATATAGAATGTCCCTGATCTATCTGTAATTACAGCTGAACAATTTACCGGTTATAAAGCACTATTGACATAGTGTATATGAGGCTAAGATCAAATGCACATCATTATTATTTAGGATTGCCCTATCCATTTGGGCTTTGGCTTTACAGGGTTGAGGTCATGTCTACATCTCCATATCTCATTTATACACCAGACTATCTGGTTAACAATCCACAATGTTGTCACAGACTTGCCTGTCCAGTCATTCCTCTCAAGCCTTTTCAATCCAACTTCCTTTCCCTCTCACCCTTAGTCCATTTCTAATACTGGTTTTGCTGACCTTGACAATGGTGAAGGGTTGATTGAACCCATTGGGTTTTGACATTCTGGTCTCTATTCTGGTATTCAACTACTTGAGCTCCTGGAACATCTGTCTCTCTGTATCCATGAATGCTGCAAAGATGTCCTGCCACATCTGCAGATGGTCAGTATCCTGTGTAATCACTGGCAGCAGATTTTGGGTAGATTATATCTTAGTCAACTTGTTTTAATTAATTTTATTGTGTTTCTTTTCCTTCCCCTATCCACTCATGGCCTATCTACACTATCTCCCCCCTGCCCCAAGGATGATCGTTGGCTCTATTTAGGACGATAAGTTGAAAGCTAGTTAATGAGAAGTGTCAGTGCAAAATGTAGCTTTATGTAAATGTAGCGGACATGTACATACACCAAACTCTTCACTTCTCCCAGCGTCTAAGATTTTTTTCTCCTCACTTCTCAATTCTGTAAAACAATTCCAACACTAACATAATCATAAATGTGTTTGTGAATTCTTGTCTGGCTTATGCCAACGGCATTCAGGGAAATGTAAGACCTTGTTTGTCATTGGTCTTTGACAGAACCAGCTCGTAGCTGGTCTTACCAAATGGACCTATTCACAATTTAAAAATAAATAAATAAGTAATGATGAGGGGATTGGGGTTGCCAAATAATGTCCTAATATTAAACCAGGCCAGCTGGAAGCTCTGACCTGTCTGTTTGCCAAAGATGAGCCAAAGTTCTCCCAACTCCAACACAAACAACAGTGTTGGTGTTACGATATATCAGAAACATTCTCCTATGCAATGGAAGAGGTTACAACAGTAATAATAATCCTTGCGTTTGGTCTAGTACCTTATCATGTCAGCAAAATATCTCAAGAAAGTGCTTCACAGGGTTTTACTGTAAAAGGTAATGGGTTTGTATTGTAGGTGAACCCGGCAGCCAATTCACACACAGCAACGTCCCATGGATGTGCATGAAGTGAATGAACAATTTTTATCTGGGTTAATGTTGGTTAAAGAGAAACTCCATTTTCTTTTCAAATAGTTCCATGGGGATCTTTAGTGTCCATAGAACAGGCGACAAACCCTTAGTTTGTTGCTGATAACCATCAGAAAGAAGCTTTTTTTCCTGAGAAATGTGACTGAGTTTTGCTTGGAAGATTTGAAGGAGAACAAGGCATGCCAGGCAGTGCACATGCCCTTGAGAGAACTGCTTTGTCAGGCACATTAAAATAATAATCCATTTGATATAGGGCCTTTCACGTCAAGATAATATCTCAAAGCATTTCACAGGATTTACTGTGGTCATTGTGTATTTTGTAGACAAATGCAGCAGCCAATTTTCACACAACGTCCCACAAACAGCTATAACTTATTTATACAATTACTATCTGTGTGTCGACATGGCTTTTTAACAAGCCAGAGACGAACACTTAAAGCATGCTCGGAGAGCATCAGTTAAACATCTAGCAGCTTTGGCTAAACACATGTCTGGATGTCTGCTTTCAGTTTCCAGTTAGGCAGCAAATCAGTGCTTGGCTCCAGCATCTGATCTGAACCTTTCTGCACCAGAGTTTTCCAACACTCACACTAACACTGCAAAATCACTTGGCTGCTCTTCTACATGCAGTCATATATGGCCTGAATTTTCTCCCAAGTTTAGGAGAGATTTATTACTGTTGCGCTCTGTGGCCACTGCACTCAGTTTCTTTTGAAAACAGTATAAAAGAAAAACAGTTAGGTGCAGTATATCCTAATTTACTCTTTGAGTTTGGGAATCATAGCTTTGCTGTCTGTAAGATGTATATGTTTAGTACCACTACTCTGCCTTTTCTCCTGTACCCTTATATATATTTTTCCTTAGATAACCATGGAAATCATACCCTCCTTCTGGGGGACATAAACAAGGGCTCCTTGGTGCTGAGCTGTCTCCAGGTTAATGTGCTTGGCAACAGAATAGCAGAATTGAATCAGCCCTCTGATATTTTCAGTCTCAGGGAGCCAGTTCCTGAGCCAGGCGGATCCACAGTGCTCCACGACACTGCTGATGACAGACCAGCCAACCTGGCTCATCAACAGGAATTGGACCGACAGATCAGTCACTGGGGGCAGGAATTCTTCCCACTCAGTTTCTGGTAACTCTGTAAGCTAAAGCACTGTTGATCAAGGTGGTCCTAGCTGGAAAGCAGCAGAAAGCTCGCCAACCAATGCTCTCAATGGCAAGCTGTGCAATTTTAGTTGGTGGAACTCCAGCAATACTCTAATTAGATAAGCAGAGTGCGTCCCTGGAGGGAGAGAATATGGATTCCATTTCAGACGGGGATGTTTCCAAATCCTGGTGGCACACATGGAACTCTCAGTTTGGTTTGGATTCACTTACGCACGGTGATGGGTTTCTGCATATGTCAGACCCCAAAAATTGGAATCTTGAAGCTGATAGCGTTCGTTCAAGAACAATTCTATAGGCTCCGTCTGGCCTCTGGTGCCTTGACTGAATCACTGTTCCCATTGCGTGAGCCTAGATAGTGAACGTTGGCAGCCTGTTAGACTGTGGACGGGTATCACAGCTAAGCTCAACTCTCTTCTCATCGGACAGAAGGACCATCCAGCAAGGGTCACTGGATTGTGACCAGCAGTGGGATCTCTGAATGATTTTCCACTACCAAATCTAGGCGTTGTGAAGCCAGTTCTGCAGCCCAGAATCCTACCCGCCAGCTGAGATTAGTAACACATCACAGACCAGGAACTGAACCCGATACATGCTCGGCCTGTGGTTCCGTTTCACACTGGGCAGTGGTTTTAACATCTGAGCCTTAGATGGTCTCATTTTAACTTGTTATAACATTGGAAAGTTACTGGTTACTTTTGTCTCTGAATGCATTCATACGGTGAGATTAGTAAGGTTTTGTTAACCTGAGCCATGTCTTTATTCTTCTTTCCTTCAGGCTCTCCTTCTTTTCCGGCCATTCATCCTTCTCCATGTACTGCATGATGTTCCTCGCAGTGAGTACTTTTGGATTATTCCTCTGCTGGGCACTCGCACACACACCAACCACACACTGACACCCAGGCTGACAGCACACAGCTTAAGTATTTGCCTCATCAGCAATGTCCTTGATTCTGTTTAAGTGGTTAAGACAAACAACAAGGATTAGCTTCCAAGCCAAAATCCATTCAAATGATAAAGCTGTTCGGACACATTTTACATAAAAGGCTTTGGGAATTTTTTAAATTGAATTCTCCCAGCCTTACACCATAACATACAATATCTCATAGTTGTAGGTCAGCAATGCATCAAACTTACCCATCCTGTATAATTCCTTAAATGTATCTGTCTCTAAATGTAATGACCCTGAATCCTTTGACTTGTCTGATTCCCTTTTGACACTTTATAGTACTGTTAAGTTACAGTGATCATGTATGGGTAGTTTATTCCATATGCCTGGTGTTTACTGAAATAATTTCAGTTCTGCAGTTTGCATTTCTTTTTGTACTTATTTTGAAGCTCTGATATGAACCTTGATGTATTGTAAAGGTACAGAGCAGCTTTTCCTGAGATATGTGGGAAGAATTCGAACACACTCAGGGGACAGGTATAACAAGGGTATCAACCTCACTGAGCTTTTTCCAAACTTGCTTTTGGCTTTGCCGATCAAACCAGTGATTTTTTTTGCTTTGATTGTTTGCTCATCCCATCTACATTCAGCTGTAGGTAGCTCTTCTATAGCCTTAGCTTGGAAACACTTCCTAACAGCTGAAATACAGAATACAAAGAGTGGCAGGAAAGGTGGTAGAGGCCAGAACACTAGACTCAGTTAAAAAGCATCTTGATGTAGTGATGAGGATGGTAGTGAAGGTGTTCTGGAGGTATGCGATCAGATGAGCTGAAGGGCCTTCTTCATCCAGACCAATCTTGTGGTTATTCTGCTCTGTTTGCTTAGATTAGAGACATTAGTTTGCTTAGATTAGAGGCTGTACATCTGAGGTCCATGTCTTACCACTTATAAATAACTGACATAAAACGTTATGTTTATAGTCCAATTGTATTTGCATAATGGTATTTGATTCATAACTTTTGTCCAAATCGTGACTATCCTTCTTGAGAAAGAGTTAAGTGAGGTCTCTAGTTCCTCAACCCTTAGTTTTTTCTGACCTGGATCTAATACATAATAATAATAATAATAATAATAATCATAAAGTGAGTGCACATTCCATTCCAGAGTCAGGGAAATTTCCATGCGTAAGTGGCATACAAATGTGGAACTCTCAGCTTAGCTTAAATACTCTTAAAACCTAACGATAGGTTTCTGCAGCACGGCTGAGCCCCAAAACTAAATTTATAACTTTTAACATTTCAGAGATGTAGGGCTGTGGCTCTTGCAGAGTTTGCATTTATTGTTAAATGTAAAGTGATGCTATTGTAGCTTGCAGCAACTGTGGTTTCTAATCACAGGTTTCTTGCATGCGATCAACAGTCTAGATTATGGCTAGTTGACCAAAGCATTCTGTTTTTCCGATAGTAGTTTACACCCAAAATACCTTTTACCCTACTAGGTATTGTGGGGGTGAAGAACAGAATGGATGTGATGGAGAAGGTCAAAGTCAGTAAGATTGAATGAGGAAACTGCAGTAAACTACATTTAGGGGTGAAAAATATCAGGATACAATTCAGTGGCATATAAGCAGGTTGATGTATCATCATGTTGAGCCATGATGTTGTGTGAAGTGAGTTTTTACTCAGGATGGGATCTAGGTTAACAAGGGGAGAGGTGCTGAGTGTAAACCACAGGGAAGGAAACATTGGTAGGTGACTCACAGTCTGCAGTTCTAGACTTTCTTACTGCTATTTGTGCGCACGAGTGCGTGTGTATGTGTTGTGTGCGTGGGGGGGGGGGGGATAGGGGGCGAGGGTAGGACTAAGAAGGTCAAGGAAGAGGCTGTCTCTTGTCCAAGGGAGTGGTGCAAGGTGACCTATTACTCAGGGTTATAAATTGTTTCCTGTTAATGTTATTTGATATTGAAAATTGTGGTAAACACTAAGACTGGCTATAATGTGTAACTGTCCAATTGTATTGTAATCAGAATGATTTGCTGAATTGTAAGTTGATTCTTAACATAGTATCTACCTGATGCAGAGAACTCTTGGGTTCAATGTGACTCCTTAATTATGCTGTGGAAACCATGACTGAAAGCTCCAACCACAATCTGAAAAGATCTGCTAAAATTCACCAGATCCTCAGATCTCTGACTTTCCTAATTGCAGTGTCCAGTGGGCATTGGTTGGTTCCTCTTTGCCAGTGTAGTTGGCACACCTTTATATATAATTTGGAAACAATTCTAAACATGACCAATCCAGGACTTCACCATAAAGAGTGACTGTAACAGAGAGCTAAGGCAGTCCAAACCCAGTTTTACTACATGGCTTGTGTGTGGGGGTGTGGGGGTGGGTCTTTGTGTGGGTGGGAGCGTTTCGATGCTAGGTTGAGGCAGGTGGGTCAGGTTTGGCTCTGGTGTGTGGCCAGCTGTTTAGCTCACACATGCTCACTGCCTTGGAAAGGTAACACAATTCCTTGCCTTTGGGGACAAGGAGAACAAATAGAATTACCAATGTGTTTCATTCTGCGGTATAAAGGACATGTAGAGTTACTATTAAGTCGCTGCTTCTGGCCATGAAGAGGGAATGTGAGAGAAATGTGAGGTGATTAGTTTCCCTTTCCTGAATGGACGAGTCTGGTTCCTACATCGACAGATCAGGGGAAGAATAGTGGGAACAAACTTATGTGTTACCGGTGTCACAACACCAATTGTGTCTTCCAAAGAATTGTAAAGAAAACTGTTGCGATTACCATGCATTTCAAATGTTGTATTTTGAAAACTTATCTCAAGAAGGAAGAGACTGCTCAGTCCATTGTGTCACGCACTCTAGTCCAGCATTGTCGAACCAGATTTGTACTGTTTGTACCACATGTGTGGTTTGTGAACAACAATGTGAGCCATACCAGGCGAAAAATGGAACAAATTACAGTTTCCTCTGAAAGATTTATTTATAAGCATGTCGTATGTACTCAGGAAAGGCAACATAATTTTCCCGTAGCTGGGAATTGGCTCCATTAGTTGAGGCTTGATATATAGTTTTTTTTGCAGTGAGCTCCTGGTCTGTAAGCAGCAGCGTTGTTCATTACTCCTTTGGGACTATTCCAGAAGTTAACTTTTTAATCACTAATTTTTCCCCAAACTAGATGAGGAGATACAAGTTGAGTTTGTGATAAGAGTTTCCGAACCTGTGCTGTAAATTGCAAGATTTGGAGGGTTTGGTTCCAGTGCACTGAACTGTTCAAAAAGAAAAGGGAGTCCTGGCTAACAAATCCCTGGACAAAATTCATCATTCACTTCATGGCTGTTTGCTTGACATTGCTGTGTGCAAATTGGCTGTCTCATTCATATGAAGAGTACAGAGCCACTACACTTCACAGTTAATGCTTTATGACGTCCTCCTGACATCCTAAATCAAATGTAAATGTTGTTGTTAATAATAATAATAATCCTTGCTTTTGATATAGCGCGTTATCATGTCTTCGCGATGTCTGGAAGTGCTTCACAGAATTACTGTAAAGTGAATTGACTGTATGTTTTGTGGGCGAAATGCAGCAGCCAGTTGTGCACAGCAATATCTCACAGTCGTGGATTGAAGTGACCAATTTATTATTTTTTTGAAAGAATTATTTAAGAACGGAATATTCACTAGCAATTAGCTAATCTGACCATTTTGTTTCACCCACCAATTTGTCCCATTTTATCTCCGGAAGAAAAATCACGGAAAATAAGTGTTTTCTATCACAGCTGATCAGAACGTGGGCGACAACATTCTTCTCCAACTGATATTTGGTTCTGATTCTTTCACAATTGTATATCTTTGCAGCATTCTTTAATTTCACCAACAAAGAATAAAGAACGTTTTGTTTCACTGCGTTGCCTCAAATCAAATATCATTTGGTGAATTAAAACAATAACAACTTACATTTGTATAGTGCCCCTCATCCAGAGCGCATGAAATTACAGTATTTTGCTTTCAAAAGCAATCCTGTGCTCCCTCGCTCAACATCGTAATCTCATGACTTTTACACTAAAAAACATAATTAACAAAACCTGGTGTGACTCAACTACTCAACTAATTTAGTATCACTGATGGTGTGATAGCTTAAAAATACCCCAAGAAATCTACACTTGGCTGCCTGTAAAAGTGAGACGAGAACTCTTTGTGGGATGGATATGACAGCTGAACAATCTAGTAGTTTTGCAAGCAACGCATAAGCTACTTCAAATGCTGTGGCTTAGCTCATAGCAGATGAGGTATTCTGGTATTAAGTGGGAGGGTGGAGGAAAGCCACTGTCAGTTTATCACAACTATCTATAGAAGTGGTTTACTGTCAAACTCTTAGTTAGAGAATTCCACTTCCAGCTCACAAGTAAATTCATGTGTTGAACAGAATCCCATCTATATTATACTGCAGCTTGCAATTGTACAATTGCTAATGGTTTATTTCTGATTCTGGTAACTCTTGTCGATCGATTTACAAGACCACAGTATGAGATGCTACACTATGTAGGATACTGCATTGACAAAGGTTTTCCTCTGGCGTTAGTAAAAGTGCTGAGAGGGATCAGTGTAAAAAGAAATGTTATGCTGCGGTAAATTTTCCAATCGTTTTATTGTGCACTGCAATGGCAAACCATTTCGACTAAAACACTGAGTTTTTAAGTGGTTGGGATACCCAGATGTGACTAATCAACATTGCTGAACCCTGGCCAGAAGGAAATCAACTCCTTCAGACATTGTATTCCATCGTCAGCAGAAAAGTCTTAAAAAGCTTTTGGAGAGATGTCAGCAATCAGATGCATGCAAGCTGCCTTTATACTCTAAAGCTCATTGTAAGTGCAAGCTAATTATCAGAACCAATGCCGGATCCAGATGTTGTAAATAAGCAGTGACATTGCTTGCAGAG